ACTCTGACCCTTTTACATGGCATTAAGGAGTCAAAGTAGGGGTGAGATTCTCACACATATATAGAACTCACTTCACCCACTGATGAAGTGCAGACATCTCTGGGTTGAAGTACAGCAACTGTTTAAGGGCCAAATCATCCCTCCCCCCACACCCCTGCGAAGAGAGGTGGAAGGGTTAAAAAGAACACAAATGTATTCCCTTTATTTCTTTAGATTTATATACCTTCAAAATGGTTCTTATCCATTTGATCTAGGAGGCCTTGTTATTTCTTACAAATACATTTTAAAAAATTTCTCCAACACTACTGAACAATAGTTATACCCTCTAACATGACCCAAGCTAGCAAGCTAGGCAAATGAAAAGTTAATAACTTCCCTTCCTTTCCAACAATTCATCAACTTCTCTATTCTCTCTCACATTCAAATGTTTGCAAAACCTGGCTAGAAAGTACGGATGAAGGAGGAAAGCAATAGACAATAGTGTTCCTTTCCATTGGTTTTCTTGTTTTGCCTAATGGTATAATACTGGCAATATGCCATGTTATAAACTTTCAGCCAGTCTCTTCAAGAGGTCCTTCATAATACTATGTGGGAGCTGTTCAGTCAAGAATCTGAAAGTTTATAGACTGTACATTTTTCCATGTTTCTCTGGTGAAGAATCAGAGATCAGTGCATGAAGCTGACGGGGTGGCTTTCTTTTACTTTTTTGGGTCATGATTTTTGCATTTATCTACACTCTCACCTTGGAACGGTTCTATTTAAGGGGAGGTAGAGAATTCATGGTTGGCTTGAATACACCTGAGACTGCAAAATTTGGCTGGAAATCTTGCAAGAATGAACTCATGAGGTTTCACGTATTTCCCGCTTCTAGTAGTGCCAAAAATACTTCCAGATCAGCTTTTCTCAGAGTAATTTGGGACTTTCCACCCATAGATGAAGTCTAGAAGTGCAGAGCCAAATGGAAAGGGAAAGCAGAGTGAGAAAAAAGATAAGCAGAACGTATCAGAACCTTCAGAGAGGTTCTATCGAGTTCTAGAAATCAGCAATTTTCGAGGAAGGGAAAGGAATTCTCCCCCCCCCCCCCAACCAATTATTCCCTATCCCATACATCCTTCCTTTTGCCCAGCATTCTGCTCACTCTCACAGTGAGGGTGCCCTTAGCATTTGTAAACCATTACTGCTTTGCCAATTGCTGGCAATCTCAGCTTAACCTCTCTGAAAAAATGCGTAAGAGTAGAGCTGGGTTTCTTTTAAACAGCTCTTCAGATTTGTGTTTGTAGCTCAGTAACTACTCAGGAAGGCAATTAGGAGCATGGCTTTCATATTCATGATCTTAAAAGTACTGTGCTCTCCTATACTGGGAAAGTCAGCCCCTTGGGTTTTTATTTACATTGTGTTCTTGTCATTCAACATCAAGCAATGGTATAATGTTTGGCCTCTAAAACTCAAAGTTAAAAAATGCTAAGCAGTTCGCCCTCCCCCCGCCTCCCAAGCAGGAGAGGTTGCTGTTCTTCAGAGAAACCTGCCTAGAGCAGTCTCAGCTCAGCATGTGTGAAATGTCTCATTTGAGAAGTATTTCCATCTTTAGCTTCTCCAAGGACTTTTGCTCAACTTCTGACCTTTCTAAAATCTACCTTTTAGTCAGCAGCTGAAAAACAGGGGATGTGTTAGAAGCCATTCTGGATCAGTGCCAGAAACTGAGTACTGCAGCATTCTGGTCTCACATGCACTATTGTCTGTGGCATAACCCACAAGAACAGGTTCCATGCACTGCAGATTTAATGGGCATAAGCACCCACAACCTCCCCAATGGGAGGGGATGCAAAGGGCCAGTTTGCCCTGGGCCCCATTTGAGTGGGCCCCCAAATCGAGTGGTACTGTGATCCCATGCATTGGGCTGCAAGGCCACTCACTGCAGAGGGACTGCCGGACTGAACACGTTATATTCTTAAAAGCAAAGTTTTGCCAACATGACTGCGTCTACACTAAGGACTTCTGTGAGCACCTCTCTGTCAGTCAGGGATCACAGCTCTTAACACCCCTGACCATAGCTATACCAGCAAAAGTCTGTTTGTAGACCTGGCCTAAGCTAGACAGTTATCAGGCAACTTCATACCCATACAACTATGTTGACACTTGTGATTGTATTGGTATAACTATACCAGTATAAGATCACACTGCTAACTGACAGTTATACTGGTACAAAAACCTTTGGCGTAGGCCAGACCCAAGGTGATTAATTGAATTCAGGCTTAATCTGCAGCAAGGGAGATTTTTAACTATAAGGATAGTTAACCATTTGAGTATGCTTCCAAGGGAGGTTGTGGAATATCCATCATTGGAGGTTTTTAAGAAAGGTTAGACAAACACTTGTCAGAGATGGTCTAGGTATACTTGGTTCTGCCTCAGCTCAAGGAGCTGGACTAGATGACCTCTCAAGATCCCTTCTGGCCCTACATTTCTATGATTCTCTGGAGCATATTTCATAGTCTTTCTTCCCAAATCACAAAAAAAGTAGTAAGTCCCACTTTCACCAGCACTAAATTAATTTTGAAAATGACGCCCCCGCTTTTTTCTGTTATACATACATCTCTTCTTATTTATTTATGTAGCTGTCTCTTTTGCAAGAGGAGGAGGGTCTTCTGAATGGGAGTCTGGACTCTGGCATTCTATTCACAGCTCTTCCAGTCTTCTTGTGTGACCATAGGCAATTCTGTACCTCAGTCTCCCCACCTGGAAAATGGGAATAATTATTTTTTTATCTCAGAGGATGTTGAGAGACTGAACTCATTCATGTCTGCAAAGATTTTTTAAAGTAGAAGATAGCTTATGCTATACAAGTGACAAGTATTTTATTCTCAAACAAAAAAATATTATTAACTAAATTTTTGGTGCCACAGATTTTTAGTGTGAAATTTACTCAAGTGTAGAAGCCCCTGCAAATCCCTCTGCACTCCTTGCACCCTAAAAGTGGGCATTAAGTGTTTGAGGAAGGATGATCTTGAGGTTAAGGCATGGGGCTAGGACTCAGGACACCTGCATTCTTTGCCTATCTCTGCCACTAACATTCCAGGTGGCTTTGGACAAATCTGTGTCTTAGTTGCTATGACAGAGTGCGGGGCACAAGCAACACTCTGACCACTGCAACTCCAATTAGTTGCCCAGAGCACACCTGACTATGGGAACGGCACCCAATAGTTTGATTGGGATGGGCTGGAGAGAGTTCAAAGGCAAATTAACTCATTACCAGAAGGCACAAAAAGCATAGGAAGGAAGGGGGGGGAGGGATGTCAGTCTTGTAGAGTCAGAGCCACAAGAGATCTTTCCTTTCCTTGCCTCAGGAGCTGAGGCCTTCATCTTACTGTTGGTATAAGGCTAAATAGTATGTGAAGGTGGTGGAAAAGAGTCCTGTAAATAAACTGCACAAGGTATTTTACCCAAAGAAGGTCTCTGAGACATTTGCGGGCTAGAAAGTAGGTGAGACCGAGTCTGCCCTGCCACATCTGCAAAACTGAGATAAGAATGCTTTCCTGTCTCACAGAGTTGTGAGGATAGATTCAGTAAATGTTTGTAAGGGGGCCAGCACAGAGCACCCTAGAAAAGCGTATAAATAATAAGATATCTAGGCATGTATGTGACGTTCATCACAGTAGTTTCTGAGTGTGTGTGTGGGTGGGGGGGTGTTTAGTGTGGGATGAATTTCATCCCTAATTAATTATAAAGCACTATTTCATACTCAGAACCAGCATAGAAAGTGTGGACACCTCATTTGTCTAAAAAATTAGCTATTCTATTTCCAGTAGTTCTTTGTTATTATTTTATGATGTTGGTGTCTCATCTCACAATGTTGAACAAACCCTCCTGGGAAAAGATAACCACTAAAACACTCCAATTATGTAAACTACTACAAGGGCTTTGTTTAAATCTGCTCTGGCACATCTCACTGCTGGAATCAATATATGTTGGATGAGATCCTTGGATTCCTTAGGTAAGGAATAATAACAAAGGGCTTGATTCTGCCACCCTGAATTAGAGTGGCAGGATCAGCCTCTTAGGGTATGTCTACACTACAATTAGACACCTGCGGCTAGCCCATACTACCAGACTTGGCCTCCTGGGCTAAGGGGCAAGTTGGGAGGGTCCCAGAGCTCAGGCTCCAGCCCAAGCCCAAATGTCTACTCCACAGTTAAACAGCCTCTTAACCCAAGCCCCACGAGGCCAAGTCAGCTGGCATGGGCATCTAATTGCAATGTAGACATACCCTTTGTTTTCATTCCTGACCCAAAGTCCTTGGTATTTGGCCAAAAGTATACATTGCAGTACATTGAAACTGGACTGTTTCAAATAAGATTTTGATATTCTTTTGCATAAAAACAAATTGTATCGATGTACACAAACCTGATCCTATGGTAAGAAATTGTCTGACATAGCAACAGCAAAAGGACACACCAAACTAAGTAGACCAGGCTTCCCATGTTCCCCATTGTATTGGCTCCTTGCCTTTAGAAGGGGGAGTGGCAGGTCTCTTGCACAGCTAACATCAGTGATACCAATGCCGTTGCAAGACTCAAGCAGCAGGGGATGCTCTGAGCTCAGTGCTGCCAGTAGTTCTAAACTATCAAGGGAAGTGGTGGATTCTCTATCTCTTGATGTCTTTATGTCAAGACAGGATGCCTTTCTGGAAGATATGCTTTACTCAAACACAAGCTGTTGGGCTCGATACAGAGGAAACTGGGTAAAATACGATGGCCTGTGATAAACAGAAGGTCAGACTAGATGATCTAATGGTTCTTTCTGGTCTAACATTCTATGAATCGATGAGGAAAGGAGCTCTCTCTCTCTCTCTCTGAGATTGACCTTGTACACATTTCAAAAGAGACCCAACAACAATATTTAGGAAAAGAAGTGTCTTGTTTCAGAGATTATACAACTTTTTTTGAGCTCTGGCATTTCTGAATGGTTATAATGCAGTGCATTTAACAACATGCTGCAAGATGGAAAAGGTCCTTGTTTAATGAGGGACTGAACACTCGCCAATAAGAGCACAGGGCACTCAGCACATCAACTCAAGACTCCTTCATCTCACAGGATCAGGCTTTTACTTTGCTGTCCACTCTCATACGAAGTGTGAGCTTGATGATGACAAATACCCCCACTAAACTGCTTACAGCCAGACAAGGTGCTTTCTGGTTAGTTACAACCTAACCGTAGCAAGCTGAGTTTTCAAAATGTATTAGAAATGTTGCATAGTTTTCCTATTGTTAAATTCTCCCCAGCGTGTTGTTGCCCTGTGTGTATTTTCTTATGAAGAAAAGTAAATTTATTCTGGGCCACTTGCACATATTAGCAGAGACCTGCACTTGCACCAGGTGTTCAGTCATGTTCTCCTGTATCTGAAAGCTCCGCCCAAGCTGTTGCAATACAAGAGTCAGCTTTGTTCCATCAAAACCAATGGATTCTTAAAAATGTACTTGCATTTGATGTCACAGCTTTTCTATGGGTAAGCAGGAAGCCAAGTAAAACAGGAAGGCAAGTCATCTCCCACCTCCCAAAACCAGTCTTAAACATGGTATCATGATGTTGCCAGAGAAATGTCAAAGGCCATGTTTTCAAAGGACTTTGATATGCATGCACACACAATGCATTTGCACACATATATGTAATGTATTTAATTCTATATCTCTCATTGGCACTTCTGTGGTCCCCAGTTACCTCATGATACCATATTTATCTTCACAAAAACCCTATCACATAGAGGTAATTACTGTTATCCCAATTTTTTCCAAATGGAAGCTGCAGCACAGAGGATAAGTGACTTGCCCAAGGTCTCTCAGGAAATTTGTGGCAGAGCACAGACTTGAACCCAACTGTCCCAATTCACAGCCTGACACCCTAACCAAATATCAGGCACTCTAGTTAGATGCATGATCATCTGATTTGTGCACACAAATTCAGGTCACATGAACAGATCATTGTAGTAAAAGAGAGAGTGTCACCTCTATCAGGTAGCATAGAATTGATTATCTAACTCCCTAATATCCCTTTTTTCATACACTACTCATACCTTCCACATCTCTTGACTCTCTGTCTACTGATTCCCAAATATCTGGGCATATTTGTTGTTACCCAAACACGGATTATCATTTGTGAAGAGCAGATGATGATGATGTGCAGATCAGATAATCTACTGATGATCAGATTCTCTACTACATATTTAAAACCTTGGAAATGGGGAAGATATGGCTGCACCTGAGAGAAGCTAGCACTTATAATTTAAAAGGAATCAAAGAAAGGTACCGGAAATTGCATCCTGATAAGCCTCCTTGTCTTTAGCACTATACTAGTACTATAAACACTGACAGGAACATGAGAACAGCACCCTATTGATGGATGCTAGGCATGAATTTATGATAAGATTATGTAAAGCACTTTCTTGAATTTCTTTACGGCAATACAGTGAGTGATACAGGAGAGGATGGACATTTAGGACAGTTCAGCAGGCTGAAGGCTCCATGCTCTTTTCCATTCTGTGGCACAGAGAGGAGCAAAAGAGAAGGCAAAGGTTATGGGTGAAATCATGGCCCTTTTGCAGTCAATAGCAAAACTTCCATTGACTTCAATAGGGCCAGGATTTCATCCTCTATGTTTAGGAAGTACTTAGGAGGCAGAGTGGGTGGAAAAAAAGAACCAGTAACAGCACAAGCACTCAGCTCAGTCTCTGCTTGCTCATTATACTGGAAATAACTATTGCAAGTCGGGCATTCTCAGTGGCTAAACACAAACTTTATAGTTAAACCACTTCCTGACCAGTCACCTGACACGCAGGCTTATGAAGTGGTAGAAAGCCCCCCACCTTCTCAGAAAAGGATGGTGGGAATGGAGTCAACACTGCATGTTCTCCTTTCTAACAATACCCAGTGAAAAACCTCCACCAACATAGCTAAATTGGCTCCTATTATCTCAGCTAATTTTACTCCAGAAAGGAGTTTAACTGCTTCTTACCTTTATCTTGAACGAAGGGCAGCTGTCACACACAACTTCAACAACTCTCCATAAGTAGACACACATTAGTAAGAACAGGTAGATGTTGGCTTTGTGGCCACCTGGATCATTCGTTCATCGCTGGTACCTCACTCTCCTGAAAATTAAGTGCAAAAACCCTCCTGAGAATGAAGTGTCAGTTCAAAGTTGGCTCATTTCTGTCTATCCATAAAATTGAACATTTTTAAAGAGGTCCCCCAGTATATACCTAATAGCTCACTTAATGTTAGAGAAGACCTTTAGTAAATAAAAGCTCTTCTTCTGGCCCTTCATCAGTTTATAAGAATAGGTTTAAAGTCCTCAAGTGGTCTTCAAATTAAACACATAGAGGATGACTTCTTTTTTGCAATTAGATAATAGGATAAATTACTCTACAGAAGACTCTGGCAATCCTCAGTGAATGCACTGAACTGTGCTTCTATTTATATTCTTTTAAAATGACCCTTTACACACTTGCACTGGAAAAATATTCATACATTTAAAGACTGAATTTCTTCTGAGTGCAGTTAAGTATTAGCCAGTTTTCCCCTGCAGAAGCAAATCTTAATTTAAAAAAAAAAAAAGGAATCATATGGCTTGTTGTATTATTTCAGATGGTTTAAATTGACCCAAAAATCAAAAGTGTTAAGAAGATCCTAACTTTCCAATATTAAACCATTTTAAACAAGATTTGAGTTTGGTATACAGAGACCTCAGCCTGTGTAATACCATGGCAAACACACTTTTTAACCTTTTATTAAAAGATACAAAAAAATTAATCACAAAATGTTTGGTATTGCAACAGCTCTTGGTTCAGGTGGTTTGAAATTCAATTCAGAGTCACTTCAGTAGCAGCCCTGAATTAAGCTGGCATTTTGTTCACATGGGGAATTACCCAAGATGTTCTTTCAATAAAAGTTTGCTTTAGCACCTTAACCTTCAACAATTTAAAACATTTCATTTTTGCTACTTTTGCTTTTTTTTTAAATTCTTTACATTAAAACTTTGAAGTTATTACCATTTACAAAAGCTATAAACATTAAAATTAACAAAAGAAAATGGAAAACAAATCAAAGCATTTGTTAAAAAGTTTTTAGACAAATTATCAATTGCTATAAAACAATTGTTAACTCTCTCTTATTTTTGAAAAAAAAATGTTTACTTTGCATGCTTATTCCAAACCAGTTCAACACATTTAAGGATTTTTAAACCAACTTTGAAAACTATTGCTTGTTTGTCAAGATGCCATTTCTGAGTATATATTAACCCTTTAGGATGTAAAAAATGTATTAATTTAGATGGAATATATGGGCTCAAAGAGTCAAACATGTTAACATGATCCAGAAATTGTCCAACATTAAACAGTTTTAACCAAGGTTTTGGTTTGGTATATAGCAGGGGTTCTCAAACTGGGGGTCGGGACCCCTCAGGGGGTCACGAGGTTATTACATGGGGGGTCGCAAGCTGTCAGCCTCCATCCCAAACCCCGCTTTGCCTCCAACATTTATAATGGTGTTAAATATATAAACAGATGTTTTTAATTTATAAAGGGGGTCGCACTCAGAGGCTTGCTATATAAAAGGGGTCACCAGTACAATAATTTGAGAACCACTGGTATATAGAGATGTCAACCTGCTTAGTACCATGGCAAGAACATCAGTAAAATTCCTTTTAATCTTTTATTAAAAAGATACAGAAAAAAAAGGAAAATAGTTAAAGCATTTGAAATATAAAGTATTAAGTCTTTCATTTTAACAATATCCCTTGTTACCTTTCCCTGGTAAGAAAGAAAACCTCCCTGGCAGGACAATCTCTTAGCTGGCATTAAAATGGTAATAATTGGCCCTTTGGGGAAAAGAGAAGTTAGTTGAGATGGACTGGAGCTGATGTTGTTAAGACAAAGACAAAACAGGACAAATACACAAAAGGGAAAGAGAAGAACAGCAAAGATAGAAGAAAGCAGCTTCTTTCTCTGGTGTTGACTCTCACTTGTGACCTCGCTGCTGGAACAAACACAGATACAGCACACAGTCTTATCAGCCAGTCCAAGACCTGGCAAACTTGTAATGGGCTGTTTAGGGAATTGAATTAACAAGGTAGCTTGAAAACACACACACTAAAGCTGGGGTTCTCAACCTTTTTCTTTCTGAGGCCCCCCCAACATG